TTCATATGCATCTTTTGGATTCAATCTATGTATTATAGTTTTCGAGTAAATCAATGAAATGTGTAAACACTGCTTTTTTTAGCATTTTCTTAATTTTGAACATGAGTTACAGCCAAACGGCTAAAACCACAGTAATATATCGATACTTTGTAGATTCCCCAAACATTCAGCTTTCATATGCATCTCTTGGATTCATTCTATGTATTATAGTTTTCGAGTAAATCAATGAAATGTAAAAAAACACTGCTTTTTCGAGCATTTTTTCAACTTTGAACACGAATTACAGCGAAACGGCTAAAACCACAGTAATATATCGATACTCTCTAGATTCCCCAAACATTCAATTAAACGATATTTCAGAACTCTTTCAAACCAATCATGAAAATTGGTTAATATTATTGATGTCATTTCTAAATTTATACATTTTATCATTGATAAATAATATTATCTGCACAATTTTTCTAGTATTGTTAATTATAAATACATGGGGATCTCAATAATGGTTACAGTTGCAAACATGCAGTATTCTTCCATGCTTCTGGTGGTCATTTTGGCGACTACAAATCCAATCTTTGTGAGTGGCTACAGGACCGCTGAAGTTCGGTTGGCAAAACAACGGTTTACCAGTTACCATCTTGGGCAATTGGGAATTTCTGCAGCCCAGCAATTTGCTTGCACTCGAAAATTGTTTGGAAGTGAAGTTTTACGAGAACTTGTACGTAATAATGTCTGCAGTGCACTTAATTACATCGTCTGTCAAACGAATAAACTGTAGGAAGGAAAGATAAAGGATAACACTCAGATATTGATGTAAAATATCTACATTCATAGTGGAAAACGAAAGATATTTCTATAACGTATTATTATTTATAAAGACTTGCTGTTCTAATATTAAATTGAAAATGTTAAGTATTCGCGGACGAGCGGCGAATATATCCGCTCTGTCCTTAACACAGGAGGCTTTGGTTATACAAAAAAAGTATTCATTTCATCGGAATTTAGTTTTAAACAGACGGAGAAGTTGATTTTAGTTCTGCAGAGTTGAAACAATCCTTTTATTGACAAATCAGATTTATTAGAATTAGAAAAGTTCAAATTCAAATACATTCTATCCTATTCTTTATGACCGGATTAAAAACTTACTATGTACGGTCAAATTGACCGAGTTGGAACGAGATATCATACTATCACGTCTAGACTATTGCGTTGTTATCAGCTGATTGATATTTGTGTTATGAGATTTTGTTAAACTTTTCTCGATTCGCATATGAAGTACATATTTGTATCGCATTCCATATCGTTGAGCAGGAATTGTTTGTTGAAGTACCAAATGTTCAGACAGAACTGGTGTCCACTGTAGTTGTTCGGTTGGTTCGGATGCCATCTGGAAAATACCGGATTTCCGCTATTAATCCAACCGAATTGATCTTTTTCCTTTATCACCCCCGACGTCCAGATCTCCAGATCATTCTTGTATTCCACTGCGAAAACCAGCATAAAGTTACAAATTTCACTTGGAAATGACTTACTTTTATCCTTGACGAACTCATGAATCTTATCGAACTCCTCATCGGAATCAATGCTCAACAATTCCATGCCCATTTTACTGCAGGCCATAAAGGCCTTGAACCACGTAGTCTTGTATAAAGTTTCCAAATAATAGAATTTGTTTTTGTACTCGTAATGATACGGACTCCTCTTCAAGGAAGCTGAAGACGAGCAACCGCAGAACGCAACCAATAAAATCAGTAACAATTTCACATTCATCTTCGCAGCAAAACTGAAAAAATATGCAAATACTGCAGCGCTTTATATACAGAGATTGCACATAAATTATCTTTAGGTCGTCACAGGTCAACAGATAAATTAACTAGATTTATACACATATAACGATTATTTGTACTAAATGATTACAATTTCATCAATAAATTATTGAAATATGGAAGTAAACTTTGGATGACAAAAATATACAATTAAATTGTTTAATTTTAAAGTTATTTGTATACTAAATGGTAACGTTTCTTTTATGACAATTTAGTAATCAATTTACAATTACCTGATAATTAGTTATTATGCAAAATATTTTATAATTAAACACGTAAATCAATTTCACAGCTTTTTTTTTCAAATTATTTCTTTCATTTACTTTTCATCTTCGAAACAAGAATAGGAAATTGAAAATATCTAATCAGGAAATTCATACACATATAACGATTATTTGTACTAAATGATAACAATTTCGCGAATAAATTATTGAAATATTGAAGTAAACTTCGGATGACAAAAATGTACAATTAAATTGTTTAATTTTAAAGTTATTTGGATACTAAATGGTAACGTTTCTTTTATGACAATTTAGTAATCAATTTACAATTACCTGATAATTAATTATTATGCAAAATATTTTATAATTAAACACGTAAATCAATTACACAGCTTTTTTTTTCAAATTATTTCTTTCATTTACTTTTCATCTTCGAAACAAGAATAGGAAATTGAGAAATTGAGAAATTCCAGATTTTTCATTTATGCTTTCCACGATTCACATATGAAGAACGATTTCGTATCGCAGCAGGCGAAAACAAGACTGAAGGAACAAGTGAATGCTGAAGCGTTTTATAACAAAATAAGTAATGAATCTAGTTTTATCTTAAATTATCTTTAACTCATTACAGGTCAACAGATATATGAACAAATCTCTCAATATTATCAATTAAATATCTGTTTATTTACTTTCATACATATGTGAGAAAAAAAGTAACATTTCTATGTAGAAACGAAGTATTTAAAACAGAAACACGAAAATATTTGTTTTTACAGTTTTATTATTTATTTGGTAGAGGTAACATAAGTACAAGGTGGCGCAAAAGTAAAGTTTCCCGAGCTGTGTGAGTTGAATCCAACAATGATCCAATGCAGAACTTTCGGCAAAATGTCGCACCAAACAGTCACTTTGGAGGGATGCAATGGATCTTTTTGCATTACGTGTGGATTCTCTGTGTCCCAGAAACGTACATTTCGTTTATTAACATAATCACTTCGCTAATACAACAGACTGAAAATTTTTCAAATAAGAAGTAACAATAAATCTACGTTCTTGAAGTGTGCATCGCTCCATGGATTATTGACAACTAATTCACTATATATCTACATTATAAATGTCAAAGCACAGTGACATTCAGCGCCATCTGCAAAAATGGCAGCCAATTCAAATTGTGACATTACTTTTGCGCCACCTTGCATAAAGCATTTATTTCTATGGGAATGGTAGTAATTTTCTTGATTCTTTAATAACTTCCAATCAGTATTACAAAACGTTTATTTTTTTCTCTCTCTCTAATTTCAATAACATATTCAAAATTTAAATTAAATTTTCCTCGATTCGCATATGAAGTACGATTCCATATCGCAGCGGAAATCGTTCAGCAAGAATTTGCCCTCCGTTAACCAAATGTGCAAACAGAACTGTCTTCCATCGTAATTGGACGGTGACGTTGGCCACCATCTTGAGGATCGAACCGGATTTCCGGTGTTCATCCAATAGAATTGACCTTTATCCTTCATCGCTCCCGCCGTCCAGATCATCAGATCTTTCTTATATTCCACTGCAAAATCAACTTGAACTTGAAAAGATTTCACTTGGATTACGAAAATCGACTTACTTTTCTCCTTGACGTACTTGTGCACTTTATCGAACTCCTCGTCGGAATCAATGCTCCACAATTCCATGCCATTTTTACTGCAGGCCATGAAAGCCTTGAACCACGACGCCTGCAAAAAGAAATGGTTTTGTAAAAATGAAGCAACAATTATTTTAGATTCAATCACCTTGTAGAAAGTTTCGAAATAATAAAGTTTATCCTTGAATTCGTATTGCAACGGACTCCTCTTCACGGAAGATGAAGTCGAGGAGCCGCAGAACGCAACCAATAAAATCACCAACAATTTCAGATTCATCTTCGCAGCAGCACTGAAACAACACGCAAATACTGCGCGCTTTATAAGCAAACACAAACAAAGAGATTGAACTCGTTCTTTCATAAATAATTTTTAAATCACCCAGGTCAAGAGATATATGGACAAGTTGCATGCATATCTGATAGATGTTTATTTTCCTGTAGTATAAAGGTCAACATTTATCAATTTGTTGTCAATACTAAATAAGCAACATTGAGACTATAAAGTATTGAAAAGATGAAGTAAACTTTATATGAAAAAAGTATACAATTACATTGTTTCATTCCAATGTTATTTAGATACAAAATGGTAACGTTTCTTTTATGACAACTTAATAAAAATTTAAAAAAAAAGCAATTTACAATTATCTAATTATTATTTATTGATATTTATGTAATAAAGTATTAAAAGAAACACGAATACAACTTTTTATATAACTTTTATTTCGGTAATTGTAAGTTTAATATAAAATATTTATTTCTATGAGAAAAGCAGATAATTTCGTGGTTTTTACAAAAGATGTTGCGTATTTTGAGTAATATCAAAACGATTGGATGAAGCAATCAAAGACAAAATTGGTATATCTTCACACATCTTTGGTAAATCGTAGAAAATTATTGGAGCTTGATTGAGAAGTGATGATTTCCATATTTGTACCATCAGAATACCATTTATTTCGAAGATTGCAAAACTCATTGAATGCTAAAACTTTCACGAATTATGATGACCTAAAATCGCTTTAGATTCAGTTTTCAGCTGATAAGAACCAGCAGTTGCGTAAACAACAAAGTTATCAGAAAGTTCATTATTTGTATATAAAAAAATGAGTTTTATTTTTACACTAAATGATGAATATTAGTGTAAAACATTTGTTTCTATTGCAAATGCATTTTCATCATTATTTTCAAAATCGTGATTACATAATTACAAAAAAAAACAACAACAACTAACAAAACGTAAAATGAAACATATTTTGTACGTTCGAGCTGGGAAATTTGTTGGTAAACATTTTAAATTTTCCTCGATTCGCAAATGTAGTACGATTCCATCTGGCATTCAGCATCGTTCAGCAGGAATTGTTTATGTTTTAACCAAACGTGCATGCAGAACTCGTGTCCACCGTAATTGTTCGGTGTGCCCGACCACCATTTCGATAAGGTAACCGGATTTCCGGTATTGATCCAAATGAATTGACCTTTTTGCTTCATCACTCCCGACGTCCAGATCGTCAGACCGTTCCTGTAATTCACTGCAAAGTCAACTTGAAGATACAGATTTCACTTGGAAATGGAAAAACCACTTACTTTTCTCCTTAACGAACTCATGAATTTTATCGAACTCCTCGTCAGAGTCAATGCTCAACAATTCCATTCCCATATTTCTGCAAGCCACAAAGGCGTTGAACCACGACGCCTGCAAAAAGAGATGTTTTTGAATAATGCAACAACAATTGCAATTGAGAGTCAATCACTTTGTAGTCACTTTCGAAATAATAGAGTTTATTCTTGAATTCGTTTTGTAACGGACTTCTCTTCACGCATACTGAGGTGGAGGAGCCGCAGAACGCAATTAATAAAATCATCAACAATTTCAGATTCATCTTCGCTTGCTAATGCAACACTGAATATCGCGTGAATGTTGCAGCGATTTATGAAAGAATCAAAGCAAAAGAAAATGTGTGATAAAATGTGTTTTATCGCAAATTGTTTTCAATCCTTCCAAGTCAACATAAACAAGTTGAAATAGATATGCGCTATTAAAAACTTATTTTCCTTTATTAATTATCCCTTCGTGTCTACTGAAATTTATGCGAAGCATTGAAAAAGAATCACGAAAATCAATTTTACATTTATTTCTAAGGGAATGGCAATTTATTTACCTATGAAAGAATACCACAGAACTTAATCTGGATATTTTTCAATCTGACTATTGAATTAAAACTTAATTAACGTTAGACATGATTTATTATGGTACATTCTCTCTACAATATTAAAAAATTAATATTAATTTTCCTCGATTCACATATAAAGTTTTTGACGAGACTTTTTGTTGACGGGAAGAAGGAAACTGAGACCAATAAGATTTAAAGTATCTGGGATATCTATCCAGCCTAAAAACTCCATCAAATACTTGGGGTGTATTCATCAAAAGCAGACTGTTCTTCGGCTAGTCTCATCAGAGCAACAGAGGTAACTATTTCGGTAAGCAGACTGATGCCAAACAACGGTGGCTCGGAGTAGTGGCGCAGGCTATTATGCTCAAGTATGGGAAGAAGTGATGAAGGTGCAGAGCTATAGAAGATCTCTGGAGACAGTCCAATGTAGGAGAGCAATAAAGGTCTGTAGCGTTTACAGAACAATCTCAGGAGATGCAGTTCAAATAATTGCTGGCGTGCTACCAATCGAACTCTTAGTTACAAAAAGATTCAAGAGACAGAGAGGAGTGAGTAAGGAAACTGTCAGGACCAGACTGCTGGAAAAGAGGCAGAAAAAATGGGAGAGCTCAGAGAAAACACGGCGAGATAACATTCCATCTGAGCCAAGCACTTCATAGCAAGGAAGAAGGACGAAAAGTGCTGGTACTGCGAAGAAGTCGATACTCAAGATTCCCCAAACATTCAGCTTTCATAT